CAAAACACGGAAGGGGTTCACTTCAATAGAACTATATAAAGGAACCATTCCAATAGCGACAGACTAGGTAACTTAGATCAGTCTTCTGACTGAGAACTAGAAAAGGTGGACAAGCGTACTTGATTACAGGGCTGAAAGGAACACCAGAGAACAGGGTCTTCTTTTTCCCCTTGGGTTTCTTCCAATGACAGAAGAGACAAAGAAAGAGGTTAACAAGCTGAGCACAGAACTCACAACTCACAGAGCTCACAGGGAGATACATTGGAGCTCAGCATCCACTGAGAGCCCCGCTAAGTAAATCTCCTCTCATAGGTTGGGAACCTGAGAAGAACAAACTGCAAATTGCCCTGAGAGAATGAGGCCAGCTTGAATTATCTCAGTCCTTGATTGGATAAGACAGTCCTGGGTTGCTACTTTCAAAGTCTGTTTCAGGGCAAATGTAAATCCTCTCTGGAGAAGAATATCATCCAAGGCTTCAAATTAGTTCTACCATTTCATATATAATGTCTATCACCTAAAAATAAAAGCCACATGAGACTGAAAGATGACATAACAGAAAACAAGAGAAGTAAACAGCAGACACAAAACCAAGCGATGGAGATAACAGAGTTAGCAGACACTTAAAAATAACTCTGCTGAACATGAGCAACGAACCTGAGATAAGACTGAAAACCTGGCAGAGAAATGCCAATTATAAAAATGAACCATATGAAATTCTGCAATTTAGAACTATCACAACTGAAATTAATAACTTAATGGATAAGTTTAACCACAGCAGGAACACAGCAGAAGAGATTCAGTAAACTGGAAAAAGGTCAGAAAGACAAAAAACGTGAAAATAGAAAACAAAGGCAACATATTGAAAAGAGTTCTATAACTTAGAGCCCTGGAAGAAAAAAAAAAAAAAGAATGGGACAGAAGCAATGGCCACAGAATGCGGTTGCGGAGAATTTTCCAAAACTGATCAAAGACCACAGGATTTAACCACAAAAAACACTCCCAGAGAGAAACACGGAAGCTAGCATATGAGAATGATATCTTCCAAGGTGCTGAATAAACTGCCAACCTACAAACTCACACTTAATGAAAATACTCTTCGATAATAAAATAAAAAATAGGAATTTTTTCTATCTGCAGACTCACACTAAAGGAGAGTATTAAAGGATAGTTTCAGAGGGAGAAAAGGGATCCTCGATGAAAATGTGGAGACTAAAGAGCATGAAAAAGAGCAAATATGCATGTAAATCTAAGTGAATATTGACTAATTATATAATTATGGGTAGAGTTTTTAGATAAGTATAGATGTGAAAATATGAAAACAGCAGCAGCACATATCTGGGAGAAGGACGAACTCACAGTGTGCTAAGGTCCTTGTATTGACAAGGAAAAGGAAAAAAATATGAATCTACAAGTTTATGTTGAACTTTCACACATCAAGGACATATTGTAACTATAGGGTAATGAAGAAGAATATAAGAACCATTACGACAGAGGCAGAAAACTAGAAGTCATCAAAAATCTAAAAAAGAAAAGACAACATAGACACAAAGCAAGAAAAAACTAATAGGAATGACTCATCCATAAGATGGTAGACTACGAACCAAGTATCAGCAATAACTAATTGGCCCAATTAAAAGACAAACATCATCAGACTTGATAAAAATATATGAAGAGAAGATGAGACAGAAGATGAAAGATAAGAGGAAATCTTTTTCTAACACAATAGAAATGTAAGATTATCTACAACATACCAACTTAATGATACAAAGATACCAACTTAATGACCATGACTATAATCTACTTTCAAATGAAGTAAGCTGCACTTTTATCTATAATTTAACAGACAGAATGAAAATTATGAGATTGATGTAAAAACTTGGTAAGTACAACTTCATTTAACCTCCTATTATTTAGATCTTTAAATATGTGAATCTAGGGAGTGACTATAGAAACGCCTTAATTGATTATGGGTGAATGAATTCATTTTAAACTGTTCAGAATAACTCTTCCACATCAAAACCTGGGGACTCTATTCCATAAACTGTACCCTGGAACTCAAGAATCCAGATCTTAGAGAAATAAAAGAGTTCTTCAGGGGAGGAAAAAAAGGCTGAGGGTGACTGTTCAAGGAAGTTTGAGTACCTTTTGTATATATTAACTCCTGAACCAGACTCTCAGGCTCTACAAGAATCTCCATGGAAGCTATCTGACTTCCTATTTAACATCTCAGCCTTGTAGCTTTTCTTAAGGATGAAGAACATTCTTTTTTTCAAAGACTACATCACTAGATGGGTCTAAATAGTTACAAGTCACTTCCTTATATTGGGTAGAAAATCACCTCTTTGTAATCTGACTTAATAGTTCTAGTTTTATGCCGGTCTTCACCAAAAACAAATAAAAACTAATGCTTCCATATACATACTCCTTCAAACAGTTAAAGACAAGCTATCATGAACCCCCATGTTTTCCTCTGCAAATCCACAATTTACCAGGTATCCTAGGTCATGGAATAGAATGAATCTCTTCCCAATCTAGCTTATTCTCATATATGAACCTAAACTTATCTAAATAGACCCTTCTTAAAATACTACCTCAGAATTCAATTCAGTAATTCTGTGTTGCCTGTAACATCAGAAGACAACTTCCTTAAAGCACAGCAAGTCGGATTTACCAAGTAGCTGGCCAGTGCAGCATTCCCTCCTGCCCTCACTCCCATCTTTGTGTTATAGTTTATCTCCAGTTCCATTTTGCTTAGTATTCATGACCTCCAAGTTGTCACTGTGGACATCAGGAGCTATAAATATATATTGTTCTGGCTCCTTCCTGTACATCTTTCCAGTCATACCTGCTATTCTCAAAGTCTGTGAATCCCGATACTAATAACTTGGCAGATTCAGTTTAAGGTCCTCTTCAGAAGGTCCAGTTAGCTCAAGGCAATCACATTCTTCCCAGGACTCTTAAATACTCCAACCCCAGAAAAAGGCCTTTCTTTCTGGTATCAGGAATATGGGCCACAAACACACACATCCAGCCAATTTCAGTCATTTACCTCCCAGATCGTTCCTCCCTGAAGTTCTAGCTAGAGCAGAAAAAATAATGAAAACAACACCTGTAGTCACGAATCCTCCAGTTTCCTGGTCAAGATTTCATATTCCCTTGAAGACACTTCCCACAGAGGGCATTGACAAGGGAGGGGCACAAGGGAGCTACAGGTACCTATAGGGTTCTATTTCTTGTGTGTGTGTGTGTGTGTGTAAGAGTGTGTGTGTGTGTATACTTTGTCACCAAGACGGAGTGCAATGGCACAACCTCGGCCCACTGCAACCTCTGCCTCCTGGGTTCAAGTGATTCTCCCTCAGTCTCCCACAAGCAGGGCTTACATTACAGACGCCCGCACCACGCCCAGCTAATTTTTTGCATTTTTAGTAGAGACGAGGTTTCACGTAGAGACGAGGTTTCACCGTGTTGGCCAGGCTGCTCTCAATCTCCCAACCTCAGGTGACCTGCCTGACTTGGCCTCCCAAAGTGCTAGGATTACAGGCATGAGCCACCAAGCCCAGCCAAAGGTTCTATTTCTTCAGTTTAGTGTTGGGCATATGGACGTATGATTTAATGTTTTAAAAAAGAAAGATATGTTCCTGGGGTTTTTGTGTTTTGTTTTTTGTTTTAGGCCTGTGTGCTTCATGCGTTCCCCCATATGAATCCGTAAAGAAGTAGCCATTAGCAACTTCAGTCAATATATACCGGATTCATACTTTAGGAAGACAATCCAGTTGACAACCACAATAGTTTCTATGACAACAAAAGTGAGAGAAAATACTGACATTAGGGTCATTTCAAGAAAGTTCAATCATAAGATATATCCACAAGCAAAAATACACACAAAAAGCTAAGTTCGAAGCTTTTGGAAAACTACTACCATCCTTAGAGTAAGTACAACAAAGTGTTGTTTTATACTGTTTTTTTCATCAAAATACCTCATATAGCCATAGATTTTAAACCATTACATCCCATCTAGATTCCGTATTAGATCATTAACATTTCTTCTAGATCCCACTATTATTACTTTGAAACCTTTATTTTTAGTATCTTAAAAATATTTTATTAAATATAACACATACATTCAGAAAAGTACATGAAACACACCTTAAAGTATACCTTAACAAGTTATTGTAAATTATTTTCCCATGTAACCACCAACCTGGTCCAGAAACATATTCCAACCAGTATCCAAGATGCCCACAGATGTCCCTTTCAGGTCACACCTCCTTACCTCTCGCCTGGATGGACTCCTTACCCTAACCTCTATGGAATCACCTCTTTGTTCTTGATAGTTTTACTGCTCAAGTATGAATCCAGAAATAAGTGTTTCTCAGTTTTTTCATTTTAGTCCCCCTAAGAAGCCTTTTTAGAAGTTTTCTTCCTAATTCTACCCCATGCCCCTGTGGTGGAATTTCAACACCACAGATATATTGTATGTTGGTTTATGTTATATGATCCTTTGGAAGGCAGCAGACCATTATAACAGGTAAGATTTTCTTTCACTCTAAGGACCAATTTTCACTCCACTGCAGGCGATATTGCCTCTACTAAGAATGTACGCCCAAGCCAACATTAGTTTTGCCTATTTTTGAGCTCTATATAGAGGAAATTGTACAAAATAGGTTTTGTGGGTCTGGTCTCTTTTGCTTACCATAGTGTTCAAGGTTCGCCCAGCTGGTCCCACTCAGCTGTAAGCCATTTTATGAATACTGCAGTTCTTCATTTTCTTGGAATTAACACTTGGGTTATTTTCTGTTTGGGGCTATTATAAAAGATGTTGCTCTGAACATTCCCGTCTCCTGGTGCCTACGTACTCCTTTCTTGTGGAGTATATATCCACAAAATTCCTGAACCATAGTGTATGAGTATCTTCCACTTTACCAAATTGTTTTCCAAAACACTTGTACAAATATACACCACCATTAGAAAAATATAGAGTCCCCTAACAATTTTCTTACCTTAAAAGGTAAGTTCAGCAAAATATCTCCTATGCCTTCTTTTTCTTTTAAGATCTGAAGATCACTGTACAAAGGACTATCAGGGTCAACCCTAAGAATCCCAAAACAAAAAACAGTTCAAACAAAAAGATATATTTTTTTCAACTAATTCAAAAATGAACCCGTCTGAAAGTTATAATAGAGCACCTAGGGTAAGTTCCAGAAAGAGAAGATCTTAAGCTGCTCTATATTCCCAGGAAAAATAGAGGCCACTATAGCTTCCAGTTCCTTTAAAATAAATGTCCAAAAGAGATGATAATAGTCTAAATCGGATCTAATAAGGGGGTTCAGAGTTTGCAGTCATTTTAAAGCAAAACAGTCACATGTATGTAATTTTCTCAAGAATTGAAAAGAAGTTTAATGTGCTTTCCTAAACTTGTATTATTAGCCAAGGGGTTCAAGGAGAACAATCTGCCATGGACAAAACCATGAAAAGTTAAATCACTAAAAGATCGGTATTTTTCCACGACTGTCCTATATATACATGTCCAATATGATTTCCACTCCCAACTCCCCTCCCCTTTTTTTTGTTTTGTTTTGTTTTAAGAGACAGGGTGTCTCGTTTTGTCACCCAGGCTACAATATAATGGTGGAATCACAGCGCATTGCAGCCTTGACCTCTCCAAGCTCAAACGATCTTCCTGCCTCAGACTCCTAACACCCCTAGGAGCTGGGACTATAGGTGTACTCCACCTATATATTTTAAAAGTAATAACATAACCTTCTCTACAATAAGAGTTGATTGTTTTGCTTTCAAAACTGGGGTAAAAGTCATAAAAGTCAACTTGGCAATCATTCTCTGTATAACGAAATGTATTACTCTCATTTACTTTCCAAGCAATATTGCTCAAGCTTGAGCTTTTTGCTAGAAGATAGAAATCATGTAAGAGTTCACTCTATCAGGAAAATGACAAAAACAATTCTGATGGAGCTATAAAAACATTTCTTTAAATCCAAAAAACAAGTACACTCATCCTGTCTTACCCTCTACATCTTTTGGAACTTGGTTGCCTTTGAATTTCACAAAATAAAGTTAGTAAACATTTCCATTTTAGCCCACTTTTAAGAAATGACATTCACAATCTGACAACAGAAAAGAGCAAAAGAACAAGAAGAAGAGCAGGGATTTAGAGATCCTTCCCTGTCGTGTAACTCTGTGATCTGTAAATGTCCCTGAGCTCTTTCATACGTCTATCTGAAGCTTGCACTGACCCAGACGCTGCAGCCTGAAACACAAAAGCCACTTTTTACCAGGGTCTACTGAGCCAACTAATTTAAAGATGTAAGGTATTTCGACCTGATCTAAAAGATTACAGTAGCCGGGCGTGGTGGCTCACACCTGCAATCCCAGCACTTTGGGAGGCCGAGGAGGGTGGATCACTTGAGGTCAGGAGTTTGAAACCAGTCAGGGCAACAAGATGAAACCCCATCTCTACCAAAAAAATACAAAAGGTAGCCGGGCATGGTTGCACGTGCCTGTAGTCCCAGCTACTCGGGAGGTTGAGGCAGGAGAATCTCTTGAACCTGGGAGGTGGAGGTAGCAATGAGCTGAGATGGCACCACTGCACTCTGGCCTGGGCCACAGAGCGAGACTCCATCTCAAAAGAAAAAAAAAGAAAAAGACTGCAATAAGCATGGATCATCACTCAACATTTTAAGAAGTAAAAAAAAAGTCCAATTAAATGAAGCATTATGAAGTTTCAAGAGAATATAAAACTAGACACAAATCTGATAACTTTCTTGTTTCTTATCATCTGAAAAACTCTAACCAACATGTTCTGACCACCATGGACTCCACGATAGCAGAGAATTCAGTATGAGTCTATTCCAAACCCCAGCAATTTCTGAAAATACTTGAAGATACCCAAGGTGACACATTGCTAACTAAAAGAGACTTCCATCCATAAGACTACAAGTGAGAATATTACACAGACGGTCTAGTTCACACATGGAGACTCTGAGAGCCATGTGTGCCTACATGCAACTGGTCTCAGTTTTTCAGTGCGGGGACTTCTCTAAAGAGGAAAACATATCGATATCTTATCCTAAGACTAAATAGAAATGGAACTATTTCTTGGTCATGTGAAACTAAAGGTTTTAAAGACTGCACTATACTCTGAAAAAGAAAATAAATCAAGTTGACAAAGGTATTACTTCCTAGCTATGTAATCATGAGCTCATTTCCTATCTATAAAATATGAGAAGTTTCTCCTATCCCTAAAATATGAAGAGCAGCTATTTCACACAGCGGCTATGAAGACTAAATCAGAAGATATATAAAGTACTTAGCATAGTATCGGTCATGCAAAAGTGTTCAATAATTTATACTTGTTTTGAAGATAACTCAAACTGGAATCGATCCCAAGACATGGAAAGGACATTAATTCAAATGCTACAAACTTAGTTTTATAAATAATCAAGATATGAGAAATTGACTAAATGTCTTTCGTCTATGAAAAATTACTAATTAAATTAATATATAACTAAGACTGAATGACGGCGAGTAATCTTTCTGGTTTCCACACTTGGCATTTACTTGCCTAACAACTCATTCCCTGTTTTGGAGAACCTATTTCCAAGACAAAGGAACTGGTCCTCGGCTTTCGTGGAGTTGGTAAATAGCTCTAATAGAAGGCAGGAAGCAGTAAGTGTTCAGACTATCATCTGACGTTTCTCTACTCTGTCCGAGCATTTCATGTATATACATACAATATTCTCATTTATTTTTCATAGTAGTCATCCAAAAGGTATGTACTGTTTATTCATATTTTAGAGTTGAGCAAAGTGAAACCAAAAAGGTGTGTTTGTCACCAAACTCAGTGTTCTTTTCACGTCCTGCTGCTTCACATAAAAGAGGTGTTAAGTGAAAAGAGAAGAATTATTCTTGGTTTGGTGAGAGGAGGATGGACCAAAGTCAGCTTCATGAAGGAGAAATAATTTGAGTTGTTTTGTAGGACAGAATGAATGCGAGTATACACATGCCACAGAAGGAAGGTAAGCAGAGAAAACAGCATAAACAAGCCGGAACGGGGCATATACTGGGATCAGAAGGTGGTTCCAGGATGTGAAGAGCAGATGAACAGGGTAAAAAGTGGCTATTCTTAGATGAGAAAGATAATCTTGGGCAAGAAAACATATGACCGTGGCTACGCACGGTGGCTCATGCCTGTAATCCCAGCACTTTGGCAGGCTGAGGTAGGAGGATCACTTGAACTCAGTTGTTCAAGACCAGCATGGTCAACATGGTGAGACCTCATCTCTACTAAAAATCAAAAAAATTAGCCTGGTATGGTGGCACATGCCTATAGTCCAAGACACTTGGGAGGCTGAGGCAGGAGGATTGCTGGAGCCTGGGACATCAAGGCTACAGTGAACTATGATTGTGCCACCGCACTCTAGCCCAGGTGACAGAGCAAGATCCTGTCTCAATACCAATAAACATGACTGAATCTACCACTAAGGCAGGAATGGAGGAGGAGAGCAGCTGAATTTGGCAGGTTCACAAATTGCCTGGTATCAACTATAATTACTTCACCAAAAAGTCCAGGCTCTAGCTATTTATACACACTTACACATTCAAATGGTCTTGCCTTTCAGTCTTCCTAATTTTCTCTACTACTGCCAAATGTTCTTTTTCAGTTCCTTCATCCTCCAACTTTTTCCCACTAATAGGCTCTTCTTTCATCTCGCAGTGATCTCAGTCTTCTATGTCCTGCAAAAAGAAGAAAAATGTTAGCTTATTCAACCTATTTTTCTTTAGCAGTTTCTTATGCCAAAAGTTAAATTATTCTTGACTCAATGGGGGAAAAGAAACAGAATATATCTATCCTATGGGGAGAGAGAAAAAGCCCCCACATTCCATTCAAGAGGCTCCCACCTTTTATATCCTATACTTTATTTAAAAGCTAGACTCTGGGTAAAGCAGATTTCAAAGCTTTACAAAGTCATAGGTATTATGAAATAAGTCATCATTTATTTATTTCCTTCTTTAATTTTAATTTACTTTTTAAAAATAGAGTCTCACTCTGTCACCCAGGCAGGAGTAGAGTGGGGTGATCTCTGCTCACTGCAAACTGCCACCCAGGTTCAAGTGATTCTCATGCCTGTCTCCTGAGTAGCTGGGATTTCAGATGTACACCTCCACGCCCAGCTAATTGGTTTATCTTTTTAGTACAGATGGGGTTTCACCATGTTGGCCAGGTTGGTCTCAAACTTCTGACCTCAAGGGATCTGCCCACCTTGGTCTCCCAAAGTGCCGGGATTACTGGCATGAGCCACCATGCCCAGCCAAGGCATCTTTTAAATCTCCTCTTAAGAGAAACCATTGAGACAGTTTAGCAGCAGGTGTCAAGAACCTTAACTGTTCATAGTTTGTTCCAGAAACTCAACCTCTAGAATTGTATTCCAAGAAACTAGTCTAAGATGTAAACACAAATTTAGGCATAAGGATACCTATTACAACCTTGCAACCACAAAAACATATACAAAATCTATATGTGCAAAAATAGCAAAACAGTGAACTCAATTCCATGAAATATTAAGAGGCCACTGAAATACCAACACAGAATAATTTCTCCTGTATCGAAAAGCTTTGAAATGAAAAATAGAATACACAAAGGAATAGAAAGAATTTCAATGATGCTGAAATATGCACAGAAAAAGACCAGAAGAACTTATATTGAAATGTTCCTTTCAATTAATTTTAGTTGTCATCTCTGGAGACATTTGGTGCTTTCCCCTAATTTCAGTTTATGGTTTTATAGTAAGCATCTATTGACGTTAATAACCAAAAAATGAGTCAGGAAAAGAATTTGATTTCAGGTGCTCGGGAGGATGAAATAGAGGGCTCGTGTAGGCCCAGGTGTTTGAGGCTGCAGCAAGCTATGATCATGCCACTGCACTCCAGCCTGGGTGACAGAGACCCTATCTCAAAAAATAATAATAATTTTAAAAGAATTTGAATAACAGCCCCCAGAACAACATCTTTATTCACATCATTCTGCTCCCTCCCTCCCATACTATCTGTTCTTACACATATACAAATATATGCAGACTTTTAAAAAATCCTAATTTGCTTCAATTACCTTAGTTTTCTACTTCAAATGTCAAAATCTCTAAAGAAGTAGTTTATATTCATCTCGATTCTTTTCTTTTTCCAAGCCGGCTAATTCACTGATTTCTAGACCAGGTTACTGACTACCTTCACTCAAACTCTGCCCGTGACTCTATACGTCATGGAGCTCCCTTCTCCCTGTGTGCACCTTTCGGCCCTGACCTTCCATCCTACACTTATTTTCCTCACAATGCTCAGAAATGCCATTGGTCTGTATTTCCTCCTATACCTTCAACCTCAGTCATGTTCCCATCCACAAAACTTCTCCACCTAAGTATTAATCAGCACATCGCAAACAGAATTCAACATATCTTTCTAAAGCAATATCCTCAGCACACTATTCCCTGCTTAAGGTCTTCTTATCAATAATCACACCAAGTAGAAACACATGCCTGTCTCGAATTCAAGACTTTTAACCATCTGCCTTTTCTGGCCAATCTTGCTTTCCATGACTTCAACACATCAACCTTCCTTCTCAAAAGAAAGGCATCCAATGCACCCAAACACACCATGTCCAAGGTTGTTCTGGGCCTGTTCCCACGTTCTTTTAGGAGCCTAGAATATCTGCTTTTCAGCTGTCCTTATCTGACATCTCCAAAGTCTAGTCTCTTACCTTTCTAGATTTCCCTCAAAGTTGCGGTCCCTTGTTCATTATCTTGTGAGGGGAAAATGAAAGGGCACATGATCTTTAGTACAATGGCTGTCTGACCCACGGAAAAGGTTTAATGTTTTCATGCAGCTTATTCTACCTCAGCTAAACTGCATAAAAACATTAAAACAAATTCTCATTCTAATTGGACAATTCTAAGAAGTATTTTACTCCCAGACTCATAAAACAAGCCTACAGCCAGGCACAGTGGCTCACGCCTGTAATCCCAGCACTTTGGGAGGCCGAGATGGTGGACCACTTGAGGCCAGGAGTTCAAGACCAGCCTGGGCAACAGAACGAGACTCAAACTCTACAAAAAATTTTAAAAAATTAGCTGGATGTGGGGCACCTGCCGGTAGTCCCAGCTACTCCAGACGATTGTTTGAACCTGGGAGTTCAAGGTTGCGTGAGCCCTAACCACGCTACTGCACTCCAGCCTGGGTGACAGCGAGACCTTGTCTCAAACAAACAAACAAGTCTACCACACTACTTCTTTAGTTCTGAAACACTCTAAAAGTATATTTTAGATTAATAATTTCCAAAAATAGAAAATGAAAGTCTGAATTAATTATAAGACCCCAAACAGAAAATATCTTTTATTTTTATTTATTTATTATACTTTATGTTCTAGGGTACATGTGCACAACATGCAGATTTGTTACATATGTATACATGTGCCATGTTGGTGTGCTGCACCCATCAACTCATCATTTACATTAGGTATATCTCCTAATGCTATCCCTCCTCCCTCCCCTGACCTCACAATAGGCCCTGGTGTGTGATGTTCCCCTTCCTGTGTCCAAGTGATCTCATTGTTCAATTCCCACCTATGATTGAGAACATGCGGTGTTTGGTTTTCTGTTCTTGTGATAGTTTGCTGAGAATGATGGTTTCCAGCTGCATCCATATCTCTACAAAGGACACGAATTCATCCTTTTTTATGGCTGCATAGTATTCTATGGTGTATAAGTGCCACATTTTCTTAATCCAGTCTGTCACTGATGGATATCTGGGTTGATTCCAAGTCTTTGCTATTGTGAATAGTGCCACAATAAACATATGTGTGCACGTGTCTTTATAGCAATATGATTTATAATCCTTTGGGTATATACCCTGTAATGGGGTGGCTGGGTCAAATGGTATTTCTAGTTCTAGATCCTTGAGGAATTGCCACCCTGTCTTCCACAATGGTTGAACTAGTTTACAGTCCCACCAACAGTGTAAAAGTGTTCCTATTTCTCCACATCCTCTCAAGCACCTATTGTGAAAATATCTTTTAAAATAAGACCATAAAATTCACATACCTTCTATTTGGTCAATGCAGAGACAAAGATCTTTGTTCCGAAGTTTGAATGTAAATGCAAAGCTTCAGAGCCTAAAAACATCTAAAATTATATCCAGAGCTGACAACTGGCCTAGGTTCAATGTCGTTGGAAATTGCTCTACTAAATTTGCTACCATTTGTATGTGTTCCCTCCAAAATTCAGGTGTTTCTAATGTGATGATATTAAGAGGTAGGACCTTTAAGAGGAGATCAGGCCAAGAGGGCTCCTTCCTCCTTAATGGGATTAAGGTCCTGATGAATGAGGCTTCACACATGGGACTAGCTTGCTCTCCTGCCCTTCTGCCTTCTACCATCTGAGGATGCAACAAGAAGGCCCTCAGACACCCAATGTTGGTATTTTCATCTTGGATTTCCCAGTCTCCAGAACTGTTATAAAATAAATGTCTGTTCTGTATAAATTACCCAGTCTCTGGTATTCTGTTATAGCAGCATAAAACAGACTAACATAAAATTCCTTGATGATTTTTCAACAAGAGACAGTTTTACTACTTCTGGTGAGTAGTCCCTAACATGTTCTCAAATTCTCCTTTTACACAAACATAACACTTTTTAAACTTAGTAGTTCCTCTTCCTAAAAATAACCAAATGCAGGTTAAGGACTGATTAGTATAAAATATAAATAAAGCTTTCGTGCTAAAAGTTAAGGACTCTTGTTTTCCACAAAATCCAATCCAAAGAATTCAGATAAAGCAACTTGCTCAAAGGTGTATCATCAGTTAGAGGTAAAGCCAGAGTTGAGAAATTATATTCTATTCCAAATACAATGTGCTTTCAATTATTGCACATTAATAGTAGTTTACAAAGGACATTTATGGAATTACTCAATCAAAAATGACAACATTTATGAAATGCCTTTCTTATCCTACTTCAGCCATCTCCTTTTCTTCCTCTTCCTCTGAAGTCACTTCTTCTGTTGCCCCATTCTGAAACAGAGAAAAAATTGGCCAGGGTTACACAGGCGGAATACGGGCTAAGTCCATTAGAAGACTGGTGCCATAGGTTTAGGGACAAACTCTCAACCATCTGTCACTGCAGTGCCGCTACCAGAGAGCTCATTAACATTAAATGTTTATTTTTAAATCCAACTTTGATTTGACAAACAAGTTATCAGCTTTTAAAAATGGAACAGAAAATAAAAGAATTAGGAATAAAAAAGCAATCAAACATAAATATAAAATATAAAAAATATAAGTCAAATATAAAGCAAAACTGAAAAAAGTGTTAAAACAGAATCTAATTTAAAATAAGAAAACATTTTACTTACATGGCTATGTTTATAAGATCAATGGCTTATTTTGTTTAAAATAAATATCACAAACTATCCATTCCTTAAAATAACTACCTTTTTAACTTTGAAAAGCCTGAATCATTACATAAATTCAATTGCCTTTCATTTTAAAAGATCAGATGTGTGATTTATAGACACTTCACAAAACTAAGAATTATGAAATGATTACCACCTTACTAAAAGGCAAATTTTAGTTTTAAAAACATGTTATTTACTACAAAATACCTCTCTGCAAGACAGAATTTACCAACTGACACAATTGATAATCATCAAGTTTAGAGATGAATTTAATGGGGTTTTAGGAAGGGCCTTCATACCCAGTTTGGGCAATTTCAAAGGATAAGCTTCCTGGCCAGTGTACAGTATATAAATCTTTAATCATGAAGGCCAGTTCAGGTTAGAACCCAGAATACGTAACATATCAAGAAACTAGGATCCAGAGATCCAGTAAGACCAACAAAGGTCTCAGTAGTTTCTAAGCATCTGTTCTCAGATACTCTGATGGAGGAATACTTAAGAAAAACAACTCATGATCACAGAGGGTGTTAGAACTCTTCTGGATTAGTGAGCTGGAGAATGCCGTGTAGATAAACATACCCATGCAGAATTAACTTGTATTTCCTTTAAATCTGCATCTCTTTAGACATTCTTTGTCTTCTAAAATCTAAATGGAAAAAGGAAGCAAGCAGCAGCTTCCAAAACGTAATTCACCCCTTCTTCATTTTCCTAAATTGATACATTCCAAATCAAACTATTCTGGGTATCTAAAGAATATATACTTAGCCTACAAGTCCCAAAGACTTTGGTTGCATCACTGATTGAAAGACCATTTTTGAAATGCTCATTTCAAAGCCTACCCAGAGAATCTGCTTTGTTATTGTTGTTGTTGTTTGAGATGGAGTTTCACTCTCTCACCAGGCTGGAGTGCAGTGGCAGGATCTCGGCTTGCTGCAACCTCTGCCTCCTGGGTTCAAGCGATTCTCCCACCTCAGCCTCCCGAGTAGCTGGGACTACAGGCGCATGCCACCACGCCCAGCTAATTTTTGTATTTTTAGTGGAGACAGGGTTTCACCATGTTGACCAGGAAGGTCTCGATCTCTTGACCTCATATCCACCCACCTTGGCCTCCCAAAGTGCTGGGCGGGATCTGTTTTAAAAAAGCTCTCTGAGGTGATTCTGACATGCATCCATGTCTGTAACCATCAGCCCAGTTACTATCTTTCATTTTACAAAGGACAAAGCTGAGCCCCCACTCCTCAAAAAGGGTAAGTAATTTAATCAAAACAAAGAGTGAGTTAGTGTTGTGAAAACCTAAGATGAATTTCTTTTCAGGATGTGGCCTGGTCCTCTTTCCAAACCAAAATGACAGTATTTTATTGAAAAGAATAAGTCTGCCGCAGCAGCAGAAAAATAACAAATACAAGGAGAATACCCTGAGTGAACCAAAACCACGAGGACGTGCTGGAAGACACAGAGCAGACGGAATCAGACTGCTGGGCTTGACAAGCCACAAACCCAATCCAAATAATGGAAGGACTACTTTTTCCAGAAGAATCTAACATTCTTTACTGTACTTCTCCCAACTACAGTTGGTAAGGATCGCCTTCTATTGATATAGGAAGCCTATCTTGACGGCCTCTTAATGTGAGTGTGAAAACCAGAGAAAAAAGACAATCTTTTTAATATAACTCAACACAGCAGCAAAATCTTGAAAGAGACACCATCTCTGCCTTTTAACTCAGGAGCTAGAAAGCTCTCCTGCCAGCACCTCCCCATCCTCGTGCCACAGGACGAGCATGAGTCTGCAAACCAGGAGAGGGAGGCCACAGCAGAAAAGAGTGACAATTCTGAAGACACTTGTGATGGTTAATACTGAGTGTCAACTTGATTGGGTTGAAGGAATCCTAGCACTTTGGGAGGCAGAGGTGGGTCATTTGAGGTCAGGAGTTCGGGACCAGCCTGGCCAACACATTGAAACCCCGTTTCTACTGAAGACACAGAAGTTAGCCAGGCTTGGTGGCGGGCGCCCGTAATCGCAGCTACTCGGGAGGCTGTCGCAGGAGAATTGCTTTAACCCGTGGACTGTCAAGAGACATAGGTTGCAGTAAGCCAAGATCGCGCTACTGCACTCCAGCCCGGGTGACAAAGAGCCTGTCTCAGGAAAAAAAAAGAGCGAAGTCTCTTTCTTATCCCCCAGGTTTGAGTGCAATGGCTGGATGTCCGCTCACTGCAACCTCTGCCTTCCTGGTTCAAACGATTCTCCTGCCTCTGCCTCCCAAGTAGCTGGGATTAAGTCACCTGCCACCACGCCCGGCTAATTTATTATATATTTTAGTAGAGACGGGGTTTCACCCTGTTGGCCAGGCTGGTCTCCAACTCCTGACCTCAGGTGATTCGCCTGCCTCGGCCTCCCAACGTGCAGGGATTACGGTGAGCCACTGCGCCCGCCGAAACACCGAAAAGCTTAAAAGCCTTTCCCCTTCCCCGCCTGGGCTCAAAAAACGCCGGAGCCGCTCTGCACCGCCCTGTCGCGGTCCCCGGAGCAGGCCGGCTGACTCGGGCGACCCTGGCTCCCGAGAGGGCTCCGGCCACCACGGGCTCCCACCTCTGGCCGCGGGGACAGGGGCCGAGACGAGCCAGCAGCCCCCAAGCCTGCCCTCCGCCTCTTCCCACCCAAGCCTCCCTCAGTCCTGGGGGCGGGCCGGGCTAGTCGCGGGAGAAAAGGGCGGGGAACCGGGGTCTCTCCCCGGCAGGCACCCCTTTGTTCCGGGACTCCAGGCGCCCCCTCTCCGCCCTCACCCTGCCCCGCGAGGCCTCGGCAGGGCGCCTCACCGTCATGTTGTAGTGGAGCTGAGCCGGCGGCTGCGGGCTCCTGGTTCTTGTGGAAGACAGATGCCAGCAACTTCAGTTTGGCCTTGAGCCGGGACACTGACATCTTCCACTCATCTCAGGCGGGAGGGGCGCGGAACCCGAGACTGTCCGGAGCCGCTGTCATGGCCGCGACCACCCCGCGGGGCCGCCCTGCAGAGCTCTCCCAGCTTCGCCGCTCGCCGCCGCCTCCACCCTCCTGGGAGCGCGGCTGGAAAATGGCAAGAGGCACGGAGGAGGCCTTGGCAGGAGCTGTGTGGAGGCCTGTGGAGCTGCTCCCATTGTAACGGACTCCACCGACGGGAGGCGCGGCTCCTGTCAAGCCACAGTTTAAAAGGGCAACAGCACCACCGCCCCCGCTACCGCTTGGGAAAGGGCTGCCCGCGTCCCTGTCCCAGTCCCGGTCGCCCCTCGCCGCTCAACCCGGCGTGCCCCGCGCGCATCCGTTTTGGCGGGTGCACGAGTCCAGAGCGTGCGCGCGCCCCCGGCTTCCCCCTCCTCCCTTGACCCAGCACCTTTCTGCCCACACTGGCTGACCTGAGGCTCAGGGCGGCACAACCACCAACTCTGTGTGTGTGTGTGTGTGTGTGTGTGTGTGTGTGTGTGTGTGTGTGT